ATCCCCTTCTATATTTTCTAAGTCAAACTATGAAACCCGAGAAATTTGAAACGTGATTAAATAATGCCAGTCCTCATTACGCCCGACAATAAGACACAAATATATGAAAATATCATCAGAAGTAGTAGTAGTAGTAGTAAGATAATTTTTAAAAGCCCTTAGATTTTGGAATTATATTTTATTTCAGCTAGTGTAGATAGTTTTTCGTCTATGTGTTCAAAACCCTGTACAATATTTATGTGACTGATTCATTGTGCACATTACCAGTAACAAGTGACGAGACAAGTACAAGTCTCACCATGGAATCGTCACGTAAAACCACGTGCAATCCTTTTATATAAGCAAGTTTCAATTATTCGTTAAATATTTCTGTTCACTTATGCATCACATTCAGCTGCGAACCGCCCTCAATAACACCTTCAGACTGTCAGAATACAATTGAGCCGGTATAATTAAATCACTCCATATGTCTGCAGGTACTAGTTAATTAATTAACACATAACTTCTTGGTGTACAACCCTTTTCGAGAAGCTAATAGTCGCTTATCTATTCAAGATATTTACCGCTGTTTATCAACACTGAGTACTAATTTCTATGTTCACTCTCACTCTCCCCAATCCATATTTTGTTCCAAATTAATCCAGCCCATAAACTCCTGAAGATTTATTCTAATACTTTTCCCCTATTTAAGTGTAGGGTTAGTTAGTTATTGGAGAGGGTGGGTTTCCCCATGCACTGAGACCTGTATTGGTCCATTGTGCTTCCCTCTATGATTTTTACCAGTCTCTATATCCTACCAGTACTTGGTGCTTACCATCAGTCCCGCCCAGCCAGCGAGACCGGCTCTACTAGCTGAGAGGTATCTATAATGCTTCCCCCATCTACCAGAGGTATTAGAGACTGCTGTTGGGCGGGAAACGTCCGTTAATTTGGCTCAGTGACCTCCTTTGGAGATATGAGGTTCTTTTACGTGCCGTAAAGCTACGACACGGGACCCACGGCTTAAAGTCCCTCCCGGAGGACTTGTTCCCTGAATTTTTCCGCCCTTAAAAATTCGACGACCTCCGCCGGGTATTTGAACCCGCGTACTACGAGTCACGAGGTGGGAACGTTACCTCTAGACTACGGAGGCCGCTTTAGTGTAGGGTTACTGAATGATCTATGCCCTCGAGGTTTCGGACTAAATTTTATATACATCTTTCATTCCTCCTGTTAGTTTATCATGCCTCGTCCACCTCATACATGATTGGGTAGTCATAATTGTATGTGATAATGGTCATAAATTATTAATCTCCACGTTATGCAGTTTCATTTAGATTTCATTTAAAAATATGTTTAAAAGAAGAAAGAAAGAAGCTACTGGGCTTGTCTGTCCTCCTTTGAACGACGCAATCTTGTAATAAGATCAGAAATTGAACAGAAGACGTCGAAATACCCAAGATGAATGTGCCACAGAGATACGAGTTTCTGTATACAGATTTGTTGCGGAGCTCTTTGCAGAATTAAGGAGCTGAAATATTGATATCACCGAGATCTGGCCGCTTCATGGCAGTCGTCTGTTAGTTCTTCTTTTGCTTGTATATTCCTTCCATACGTAACGTTAATGTCGGATGAATATTGTCACGCATTTCGTGATTAGACACGGGGTTTGGATTGGTAATTGGGTTTGTTGGACTGTTAAAACTCGAAACTACAAAAAAAATTACAATGCTATCGTTAAATCACGCACTAAACGTCACATTGCAGCACACGTTAAATATTCTGTTTTCATTAGCCGTTGCTTGGTAATGGATCTCAAGAATGCCCTCTTCTGCTCACTTCGTTACCGGCTGTGCCTTCACCAGTCGTTGCCTTTTAGCGGATCCAACAATGTCCTCTTCTGCTCAGGTCGTTACCGGCCTCAACACAAAACACTATTTCCAACGGTTTTCTATTGTGGCGTCACGTCTTCGTTAACGTGGAAACGTGTATATTGATCGTTCCCTAGCAACGGCCATATCTTCTTCCTTCACTATTACCGTCTTTCGGCTGCCATGTGACAATATTATAAGATATCTTAAATGAACAAGGGCTCGTTTAAATTATTACCCAAGAATTACCGGGATGTGGTAACTTAAACAACAATTTCACTCATTTAAGTTAACTATTTTGTTTTCCTTGGCACTACAGCCCCAGTGGGCCTAGGCCTACCTCCATGAACTTCTCCGTTCACTTCGGTTTTTCTAGATCTTACACATTCGGTAGGACTCCTTGGGCGGGTGATCAGCTCGTCACAAGGCCTCTACCTGTACACAAACACAGAAAAACTCACACACACAAACTAAACATCCATGCCCTGAATGGGATTCGAACCCACGATTCCGGTTTCCAAGCGAGCCAAGACAGTACATGCCAAGTTAGCTAGTACTCAGATGATATTCCAACTTCATATCTTTCGTATGAGGACTATATGTTTTACCGCTGAGCCAACCAGCTCAGTGCCTCTCTCATGCTATGTGTACGGAGTTTCATTTATTTGTATGTAATTGCGAATACAACACGAACTGGGATTGGTATCAGGAGAAATCCCGGTGTGTGCATAATACTCAGCAAATTGCGAAGTGAGCGTGCCATCCGAACACAGCTCATTTCAAATGAAATGAGCTAATATCCGTTACCAATTGTCTGTAGCCTTAACGAAGTTCACACTCTCTGCCCTACACATGCACACTCCTCATACTCGACCCTGCGTGCAGAGCAGTGCTCCAAATTGCACGCGTTACTGCATCAGATGTACTTAAAACGGAACAGAAGAGACAACACGCAAAATATTGTCACGTGTTTTACTGACTATAAACGGAGGCTGGATTGGATGATTGGATTTATTAACACCTTATACAATTAACTCGTACTTACAAGCAATACAGCACTATGGCTGATTTTCACAATTTACAGTTCACCATTACACATGCGCTAGGATTCTCTCTTCACTAGTCGTATCCTGGCAACGGAATTGAGAGACTCTCACTCTAACTAAATCTTCTAATCACACACTAAGTTTTCACAGACTAATTTCTAATTTCCTTCAACTACTAAATTCCCGTGACAATATTCTATAAATCAAAGTCAAAGCTAAAGTTATGTTATGACCGACGGTCAGTCGGCCAGTCTATCTTGGAGTAAAGCTTTCATCTGGGGCTTAAGACCAGATATTTATTACTGTACGACAGTTGCAGGCTTGTTGATGCGGAGCGCTCTCTCTGATGAGAGAACGGCTCTGTCGTTTACCAGAGTCACAGTCACCAGTAATAAGTCTGTTGTCAGTATGTACAATTTACATTTTATTAAATGTATATACAATATATACAAGACCTGTGTCAGTCCAAGCTTCGTGGAGCGGGTCATTCCATTCGCATTAAATGCTACGGCTTGTCAGACCACGTATATTACGATTGTGGTCCTAAGTTTGTTTCGGATTTAATTATATCCTTCTTTACTTAATCATGAATGTACGAATATGAATGAATGAATGTATAAGGGGTGGGCCTTCTGGGTCCTTGCACCGCGACCGACAGTGGTCCATTGTGCTTTCTACTTAATCTTACCCGTACATATTCATGCAATAGCGGTCTACCTCCTCACAAAGCACTCAGACGTCTGTTGGTTTCCCGGGTTTCCTCAGGCGTGAATATGAGCAAAACACTCTTGAAGAGGAACTAGGATATAGCAGACGTCAGATTTCAGTCATAAGAAATGTGTGTACTAAATCCTCACTCATGCGCCCATGTGTTGTCGTACGTACGTTGTTGTAGGAGCGTATACTTTGGAATTGTGTTCATTCACGTAAGTGCAACAGTTTTCAGCAGCAATTTTCGAAACATCTGATGATGATCATATCGGTCGAAACATGTAGTGCGCCAGGGATGCGAAAAATATTTTAAAGTTCAGACAACATGAATTTTAAGATTTTAATTCAAGTTTATATGTGAGACGGGTCACGCTGTAGCATATTTTTTTAATTGCTAGTTGGGTGGGACTAAGTCCCTTGTACTGCGGCCACTTCTGACCAATTGTACCAGCCCCAGATTACAGGTGAGGGTGATTGTGGAGCAATTGGTGGAATGAAGATTGACAAGGGAAACCGAAGTACTCGGAGAAAACCTGCCCCAGCGCCACTTTGTCTACCACAAATTCCACTTGACCAGAGCAGGGATCGAACCCGGGCCGCCGCGGTGGGAAGCCAACGACTAACCGCTTGAGCTATGGCGCTAAGTAGCGTAGTTGGTTTAGGCACTATGCTACAAGCAGGAAGGTCGCGGGTTCAAGTCCCGATGATGTCATTGGATTTTTTTCAGTTGATCTAATCCTTCCAGCCGCACTATGGCCCTGGGGTCGACTCAGCCTCTAACACAAATGAGTACCAGGAATATTCTTGGGTTTGAAGGGAGGCCGGTGCGTAGGGCTGACAACCTTGCCGCCATCTATGAGCCGATTGTCTAGAGAATCTTGGAACCTCAGCATCTCACAAACCTATGGGCCTCCACGGCCTGCTACATGGAAAATTTTACGTTTTTTTATATGTGAGACGATAAATGGGAAATGCAAAAATTGCCTTTATTTTGTATACTCCTTCTAATACATTATTCGTCATCCTAATATTTGATGCTACATATTTTGAGACATTGAGAAAAGCCAAAAATAAAAGAGTACGTTCCGCAGCTTTAGAAACATAATGCTATAGGCTGTTTGAAAAGTGAAACAGATATCCCATAATGCCTAACTTTGTGTTTGTCGGCGACTACGATATTGCAGCCATACAATCAAGGTGGAATGTAGGGGCAGAACGAAATAACTAGAAAAGCAAACCTGAATAGAATCTCACGTGATCGGAAGTGTAGCATAGGTGGGAGAAGGAAGATGGTTACCGGAAACAGAATTGTATTGTTGTGTGCGTGTTGATTCTCCGTCCAACATCCTGCCGTGTGTGAACAATGCCCCAGTAATTCAGTGGCCTTATATGTACATGCAGGAACGGGTGATATGTCGCCAGTTGTGTGAGTGAAATTATAATGTTTCCCAGTGCATACAGTTCAGTTTTACAGTGATAACTCATATTTATTCAGAGAACCATGTCTTCATGGAAAGAGACAACGTCTTCTTAGTGTTAGGTAATCAAAGTCATAAGTGTATTTTGGTTCTATTCTCATAACCGTACTTATTTCTGTAAGTTTCTGAAGCATTTTTGGGTACGTTGCGTAGCGAATATGTCAACAATAGCGGTTTCCTTATTCTATAAGGAAGAACATATTTACAGTATCGTGCTTATGCGTCTGCACCGACCTACGTAATAACTTTTTAACAACTTGAAAGATTGGTATGAACGTCATGCCACTGGAGGTCATTTTGTTTTTGGGCTTTTTTAAATTTTCGCAGTGTGTAATGTCAATATAACGGTCGAATGAATGTTGTGGAGGGATAAATTCTGTTTTCACATAATACGCTGTCCTAAAATTTTGTGTTGTAATCGATTCCCCTGAAATATTAATATTTTATTGGAGATATATTCTGTAGAATGAAGAACATCGTGACCACCGCGTGAATTCTGTATATGTTCTAGTGATAAAATTGACAAAATATTATAGCTAGGTATCCGAAATTTAGTGCGGATATATGTAGTGAATATACCTAAACATTTTCTACGACCGCTAGGATTATTTTGTTACTTAACAATCACAATCAGGTTGAAGAATTTATGCCTGATACGCTTATGGCAGCGGAATCTATACTCGTGGAGAATATTCACATAAACAATAAAGAAACTGTGTAATTTAAAGATTCATGTTGTATAGCTTCAGGTATTTTAAGAATAGTAGGAAATTTAAATTCTTTCAAAGAATTCGTGTTTCAATTTTCATATTTTCAGAATTCATGATTTCGGGTAAGATGTTTCGAACTACGCCCTGGTCATGCTTCCCTGGCACGTGTACGGTCTGTAAGGTTTCCTTGTATTAGGGTTAACGCTTTGGGATTGTTTTCAGGAGGTACTGGTTCGAGTCTCTGCCGTAATATCTCCTATCGTGACCGCGTCTCTTCATAATTCTGTCAATACCACGATACTACCAGAAACTAGTCACGATTGCTCATGTCCTTCGATTCTAGATAAATAGCTTCAGTTGATAGAAAGTCGTTAAATGACCTACGTTCTATTTATTAATAGTCGATTATCTGATACGCAGAGTTCAAGGATGGTATTTTCAGATGACTCGCTGTACTCGTGTTATTGAGGCGATCACAGTGGCCACGCCGTCTAAAGCATGGAATTTCTTCTCTCGCTCGAACACTGGGATCGTGGGCTCGAATCCCACTCAAGGCATGGATGTTTGGCTGCGTTTATTCTGTGCTTGTTTGTAGATAGCGGCCTGGCGACGGACTGACACTCCGTGCAAGGAGTCCTACCGACTGTCTAAGTTTAATAAACTGAAGTGAAACGAAGCGTTTCAGGATGCCCTATGCTGCACGTGTGTGTAACAGGAATGAAGACAGACAGATCTGCTGTATCATTAGGCCTTTGCTAGCCTCATTTTTCTGACTGAGGCATTGGAATGAACAAGGGTAATAAGTATGCGGCTGCCCGGGCTCGAATCCGGGTCCGGTCAAATAGGATTTGTGATGGACAAAGTGGCCCTGGGGCAGGTTTTCTTCGAGTACTTCGGTTTCCCCTGCCAGTCTTCATCCCACCAAATTCTCCGTCATCATAATCACCCGGGTTAATCAGTGGCCGACGTACCAAGTGGACCCAGCTGGACTCCACTCCTCACTATGCGAATTAAAAAAATATAAGGTATTAAGTAGGATTTGAGGTTCTCAAAATTTTCTTCCCAGTAATTCTGTTTTATACCCAGATGCATACCGCCTTAAAATTGTCGGGTGCAATGATATAAAAGCTGCCTCCAACACATAAGAAACATATTCCAGAGTATACAAAAATTCAAGTAAATATTTTATGTTAATTTTCATTTAATTAATAGTATTTGTTCCTGTGGGAACAATATTCCTGCGAAGGACATAATCAGAAATGTAAGCGAAATTAAAATACAAAACAAAATAGACAGTTTTGTGCTGTTTTGCGATGAACCCATTTTATGGAAGAATGCACAATCTGAAAGTATGTTTTTCTTTTTGCTAACAACCAAATGTATCAGCGAGCGTCATGGTGGATCGGCTAGCACTTCTGCTTGCTATTTGGGGTTTCCTCTGTTCATAAATTTGCATAGTGTTTCTCATTACCTCCAGACAAATATCTGATATTTAAAGAAGTACTTCAAATTAGATAATCCTTTTTAATTCACTATTTCTTATTCGTCCTAATATTCGGTGTTACATAAGTGACTGCGCCATAGCTCAAGCTGTTAGTCGTTGGCTTCCCATCGCGGCGGCTCGGATTCAAACCCGGGTCTGGTGAAGTGGGATTTGTGGTGGACAAAGTGGCGCTGGGGTAGATTTTCTCCGAGTACTTCGGTTTCCCCTGCCAGTCTTCATCCCACCAAATTCTTCGTCATCATAATCACCCGGGGCAGGTACAATAGGCTAATCAGTGGTCGACGTGCCAAGTGGACCCAGCTGGACTCCACCTCCCACTAAGCAAATTAAAAAAAAATCATAAAGGCCGACCCTACTGATAGCATCGTTAAATAAACCATATATATATATATATATATATATACAGAAAATTTCGTCACTGAGTATGAGGGTAAGTAAGTAAGTAAGTAACGTTAAGCTATGGCCGCACCATAGCTCACGCGCTTAGTCGCTGGTTTCCCACCGCGGCGGCCCTGGTCCAATCCCAGGTCTGGTGAAGTGGGATTTGTGGTGGACAAAGTGGCACTGGGGCAGGTTTTCTCCGAGTACTTCGGTTTCCCCTGCCAATCTTCATTCCACCAATTGCTCCAGAATCACCCTCACCTATCATCTGTTGCTGGTACAATAGGTCAGAAGTGGTCGCAGTACAAGGGACTTAGTCCCAACCCACTAACAATAAAAAAACGTTAAGATAGGTCTCTTTGGACACAAAACAAAACTGATATATCCGTGACACCTGTTTCAGGGTTCCAACAGACAGAGGACCATGGGTAGCAGCCCCAGTAAAAGGGAAAGTGGATGCTTGGGTCTTCAACAGAGCCCTAGGGGGCATGGTGAGGTTAAATTACCAGGGTCAAGACTTAGATTCTCCAAGGAACAACTCCAGAGGTTGAATCTTCATTTGACTCGCTTGGAACAACATAACAATCAAGGCGAGTGGAAGCTTTCTTGTAAAGGAAACACTATTTCAAAGCCTGTAATCCGTAACGTATCACAGAAAAATCCTCAACAGTGTTGTTAGAAAATTATTAAGCTGAAATTAAGCAGAGTTGACCATAGGCCCATATGACTAAACTTCTAACAGTGATCCACCACATGTTTTAAAATAATCTATGTGAGATAGAGGTTCCCGCAGCTGTGAACATGAAGACCGCGGTCCCCTGCGAGATGACGCCTAGAATTTTATAGGTAGGGACTAACGTTTCTGAACCTGAGGATGGGGGAATTCTGTACAATGGTTTAGGTGCCGCAACTAAGTTATAGACAGACGGACAGCCATAATATCCTTATGACCGATATAGCTGTATAGCTCAGTAGCTATACCGACTATCTACGGGCTGGATGTCCGGGATTCTATTCCTGACAAGGGCAAGAGATTTTTCTCTATTTCCCAGGCTCCAAACCGGCTCTGGCGCCCATCCAATCTCCTGTTGAATAGGTGTCGAGGGCTCATTCCCTGAGGTTAAAGCGCCTGCAGCGTGAAGCTCTTCACTGACCGAAGGCAAGAATGGTGGAGCTACACCTCCACTCCAAAATACGTCTTAAAGCCATAGTGTGTAATTAATTAGATACAGAGACAATTTCGTCTTTTTATCAATAACGGATCCAAATTCACGAATTACATCCCTTCTTACGCTTGTTATACGGTATTTGTAATGCAACCTTAGGTAGGCTGCACACCGGCATGCGTCAAGACACGATGTCTGCGACATGACGCAAAGAAAGGAGCACAGTTGAAACGAATGAGATTATGAAAACCGCCGCACACCGGTCTGAGTCATGATGCTGACGAATCACGAATGAAGTAAGACTGCGTCTTTTGTCCCATGTCTTGATGCTTGTCTTGACGCAGTTTGTGTGCGGCGTATTACTGGCAATACAGATTCGACAGCAGCGGAGTTCGGAAAGGCCTTGTGAGTATTCTGGTTACATTGTTCCTTACGTAAATAAGGGCGTCCATGTGGAACTGACAGTACAACTGCAGTCTGTGAAACACGCCCTCTTTCCTTCTGAACGTTTCCACTTAAAATGAGATGGATTTGTAAGAGGCCAAGGTCAACTTTTATTGCCATAACAAGAAACATTTCCCAGCACAGCGAAGCACTACTCGTGGACCGTTGCATTTAGCTCTTCTTAACAGCCTCATAGCCGGTCACGGTAGCCGAGCGGTCTAGGGCAATAGTTCTCAAACTTTGACCTCGGCACGGTAAATGCTTCTTTCATAAGATGAGGGTCCGGTGTAATTGATGCCACAGCAAGAAACGTTGGTCTGGGACATGTACTGTCTTCGCTTGCTCGGAAGCAGGGATCGTGAGTTCGAATCCCACACAAAGCATGGTTGTTTGGTATGTGTATGTGTTTACTCTGTGTTTGTAATGCCCTGTGTTTAGGTAGAGGCCTTGCGACGAGCTGATCACCCGTCCAAGGAGTCCTACTGTCTGTAAAATGACCAAAATGAAAAACACAACGTCGACACCACAAAGTATAAGAGGAACGGATTAAGTGAGTAAGAACATCATAGAAAATGTTCTCATTACGGGCCACTGTACACAGATCCTTAACAAGACTGAAAGATTTATTCACTTAGACGTTTCAATATATCTGTTCGACCCTTTTCCCCTAGAATGGAACCTATGTCATCCGGACAGATGATCAATATGCTTGTTTTCCTCTTTCATCAGGGAGGGAACCAAAGTAATCAAATTAGGTGGTAGAATGGACTTATTTTTTCTTTTTCTTCAGAGAAGAAACCCCAAATCATGAACGGTACACTCTAGAGGACTTTGATGTTGGGGCAGTGGCGTCATTCAAATTTGGTTAATGAAGTTTGATATTTTTTATGAAAATTATGCAAAATTTGTCATTTTTCAAGGAAATAAAACGTAACCACCACGGCAATTATTCTGAAGAAGACAGCCGCTCTTTAATTTTAGTTAATATTTTCCCGTCATCTTGACAGTCTACTGGTTGTAGTGGTTAAAATATGCGAATCGGTTTGGCAGACTTCCAGTTCCTTGACGACTTTTCTTAAATTGGATTTTATGTTTGTACTCCACCAGATGTATCCAGATAAGAAAGTGTTCAGACTTCTACTGGTTAATCACAAACCCAAAATATTTCATATTATATAAATTTCAACTCTGTTTATATACACGTATTTACGTTACTTAGACTTGTATCAAAATCAAAATTATTTTGGTCGCGCAGTCTAGGGCATGAAACGACTTCGATCACTTGAACATTGGAATCGTTGGTTCTACTCCCACTTATGGCATGAATGTCTGCCTTTATTCTGTGTTTGCGTTGACCTGTGTAGCTAGCAGCCTTGCAACCGTCCGATCCCCCGTCCAAGGAATCCTACCAACTGTGTACTAGATTTACAATTTCAGAAATAACTCTGAATGGGAATAAGCCAGAGAATCTAATTTTATGGGCATGCACCCCAGAAATCGATCTGACCATCAAAAGCGAACGTTATCACGTAATTTCTTCAAATTCCTTTCCTTTGGGTTTCTGTATGAGCCCTACCAGGAACATAGTCTCCGCCTGCAGAATGTTCGGTATTTTTAAAACAAATAAGGCCAATTTCAGAGATGACAGTGGAAAATGATGAAAAATGATGATCTTGATGTAAAAATCTAATTTCATATGCAGATGGCAATTGCTTATGTATTTTCGAGAAATATTTATCCACATACATTGCCTTTGTTGCAATTAATACAGCGAAATAAATACGCAAGCGTGCAGGCAACCATCACCTGGCTACCTACTTCTCGTGGGAACCATCACATTGACAAGAAAATTTAATCTGAATATTTTATTATTATCAATAATAATTAATATAATTAGTGTTGGTAGTAGTAATAGTAGTACCCTCTTCTCCAAGTACCTATAATTAGAATGATCAAATCAAGGAGGATGAGGTGGGCAGGGCATGTAGCACGAATGAGGGAGAAAAGGAATGCATATAGGATATTGGTGGGAAAGCCAGAAGGAAAGAGACCACAAGGAAGACCAAGGCGTAGGTGGGTGCACAATATAAAAATGGATCTTAGAGAGATAGGATGGGATCGTATGGATTGGATTGATCTGTCTCAGGATAGGGACCAGTGGAGGGCTCTTGTGAACACGGTAATGAACCTTGGGGTTCCTTAAATGCTGGGAAATTCTTGAATAGCTGCNTTGATTGTCTACTGTATCTGTGTGTACAGGCCTGCCACTGGTTCAGCATGGCCAGTAAGGATCTGTGTGCCGTTTACGAAAGGCAGTTTTACGGCAAACAAATGTTCATTTGGCGTGGCGAGTGCTAGTCGCACTTTCATTGTAATTGTCTGCAGACCTGTGAGCCGGAGAGCAGTGTGAGTGCATCCACTGGTAACTCCGCTTACAAGTGTGACAGCAGCAAGAAAGTCACGTGGGACACCGCAAGCGAGCATTCAATCGCTAAGAAGAATCAAAGGGAAGCATTGTCCACTGAGTTTCAGTGTTCTGCTAAGTGTATCGGGGATGAAGATATTCTCAGCGTGCAGCTGGAAGCGGTTCGCGCAAATGGCATCTGTACAGTGGAGATAGTACAGTCTTTAGTCGTCATGGTGTCCAAGATTAGTATTGACGTGTAACAGCTAAGAATCGACGATAACTTGAAGACGCAATTACGCGAACTACAACAGGCACCCTCTCATGTGCCATCAACATGACACGAGGCTGCTTCATCCGCCATATCAAAGAACGCTACTATAAAATCATATACGGATGTTATGTGTGCAGTAGGCGGTAACCCTGCTGCCACTGCGGTTACAGCTTTGCCTAGAAATTTTCTACCTCAGTCGCCCAATGTGAGGGCGGAAACCCTTCAGATGGCGATTTTGCAGCTGTAGTTAGGAAGAAGCGGGTAACCCCATCTCCTGCAAACACTGCTGCTGTTACCAATGGTAAAGTTGTCCCTGTGCGTAACTAATTAAGCACTACGCCATGAAGGTCTATGGCGGAGTGGACGTATAGTTCCACATTTTCTTGGCTTCGGAAATAGCTGGAGGTGAGTGGTCAGCTTCACGTCCCGAACGCTTTAACCCCTGGGGAAAGAGCTGCCGGTACCCATTGGATCGGAGGCTGGGTGGGCCCCACAGACGGTCTGGACGACGTGGAGAAGAGAAAATTCTGACCCTACTGGGACTCGAATTCCGACCCCTCGGAAGTCTCTATGCCGACTGAGCTACCCCGACTCACGCTGCTGTTAGCAGTACCACAGAGAAACCCAGGATTGCCGTGATCGGAGTAAGAAGCTCTTCTCTCTCTGTTGTGCAGAAGAGGGTTCACTGGAGTCTCTCCTTGTCACTCGGTTCTCCCCTGAAGTAAGAGCATCTGATGCTGAGAAATCTCTGAAGGATCAGTTGCAGTTTGCTCCCCTTGCTTGCACCAGATTAAGAACTAAACATAATTCGTACGCCTCGTTTATGTCTCTGTTCCGGAAGATTTGTTTTATTGCTAGTGGGGTGGGACCATGTCCCTTGTACTGCGGCCACTTCTTGCCAGTTGTACCAGCCCCAATTGATAGGTGAGGGTGATTGTGGAGCAATTGGTGGAATGAAGATTGGCAGGAGAAACCGAAGTACTCGGAGAAAACCTGCTCCAGTGCCACTTTGTCCACCACAAATCCCACTTGACCAGACCCGTGATCGAACCCGGGCCGCCGCGGTGGGAAGCCAGCGACTAACCGCTTGAGCTATGGCGCTAAGTAGCGTAGTTGGTTTAGGCACTATGCTACAAGCAGAAAGGTCGCGGGTTCAAGTCCTGATGATGTCATTGGATTTTTTTTCAATTTACCTAATCCATCCAGCCGCACTATGGCCCTGGGGTCGACTCGGCCTCTACCACAAATGAGTACCAGGAATATTCTTGGGTTTAAAGGGAGGCCGGTGCGTAGGGCTGACAACCCTATGGTTGCTATGGCGCGGCCATCTCCGGAAGATGATTTCCATCTTATTAATAATATTGGAATGTGGCCTAACGGCTGGTTTATCGCCCCTTGTTACAGGTTGTTTAATCCTGACCGGGATTTTCTGTTGAAAATCAGCTACGTCTCGGCCTGCCACGAAACTTGTGCAGGTAGCCTTCGTCCTCCTATCCTCCCCACCCCGGACTTTATAGGCGATTCTGTAACACTGACGGAGGCCAGGGAGAAGGGCGCTCGTGCACTTAGTCAAAGGTTAACACGCATGACACCAACAGGTGGCTCAGCCAGGTCTTACACCCAATCTGGAAATTGTTCAGACATTTATCATCAAAAGGAGTCGGGATAGCGTAATAGGTATAGCGACGCTGCAGTTCGAGTCCCGGTGAAGTAAAGAATTTTCTCTTCTCCACGTCGCCCACACCGGTTTTTGGGTCCACCCAACCTCATATATAATGGGTTATCTGGTACGGGGGGGATCTTTTCTTGTGAGTAAAGCGGCCGGGTCGTGATACTGACCACTCACCTCCAACTAGTGCCGAGGTCAAGAAAAACTGTATTCAAATTGGATTCCTGTTGCTTCTGCTTTGTGGAACTAAAAGCTAGGATTTTAATAAAGAGAAATAAAGGCAGGACACGATCTGCTGAATATTACTTTTTAAGTAAATATTAACTGTTATATTCGTTTTAACTGCATAACAGTAACAAGAACGGCGCTCTTACACACGACCCTCTTCTTGTATCCCGTAGGGGAGGGGACGTTTCACATACACAAGTAAATATACAGTAATATCTACGTAGAATATCAGAAAGAAAATTAAAAATTCATTTTGAAACACGTCCAACGAGGAAGAAAATTTAATGTTAACCATGCGCTGTATTATATTTTTGAAATATAAATTTTAAATACTTCTTACCCTTACTCAATTTAAATTTCTTACAATATTTCATTAAGTATTATTGTGGTACATAAGAGCAAAAATCCACGGTCCGAAACTCTTGGGAACCCCATTTCTAAAATATTTTTATAATTCTATATATTAATAAGGTTCGATCCCGGGTCTGGTCAAGTGGGATTTGTGGTAGACAAAGTGGCGCTGGGGCAGGTTTTCTCCGAGGACTACGGTTTCCCCTGCCAATCTTCATTCCACCAATTGCTCCACAATCACCCTCACCTATCATATGGGGCTGGTACAATAGGCCAGAAGTGGCCGCAGTACAAGGGACTTAGTCCCACCCCACTAGCAATAAAAGAAATAATAAAAATATATTAATAAAATTTGTTGGACTTGAGATTCTCACAGTGGTAACCGTGATGAGTTCTGTCTTATGGAGTATAACGCCTTGTACCCCTGTGAAAGTCAGCAGTAAGTTTCGGAACAACATATCACATTCATCTTCAGTGTCCGAAACGTCGGTTGCTTTTCACAGAGAGACAAGGCGTTATATTCTAAAATACAGATTTTTGAGGGGATGAATACTTTCCTGTGATTTGATTTGCATCTTCCAATGTCATGACACCTTACAGAAAATTAAAATATTAAACTTTCCCACAAATTCTTGTCTCTAAGGACGATTTTATTCGTAATTTAAATCTAATTTCGTGTAAAGCGCCACGAACATCCAGCCCACTGCGGCCTCGACCTTTGCCCTTAGAGCCAACAAGGCAAGCGGAGGTGTTTAAGTGCGAACTGGGATGACATTTCTGTTGCAGGAGGCGACCTGAGCAGAGAGAGGGCCAGTGCCGCTGTGGAGGTTGTGGTGGAGCGTCTTGTACAGCGCCTGGTGTGCGGCGCCGCGATGCTAGACCCCAGATTCTCAAGTAAATTCCTAGCAACTTTGGACGGCATACGAGACCGCGGTGTAGTAAGTAGTTCTTCATACACCCACCCACCGACGCACTATGGAGCTTGAAGCTGTAGGCCCAAATTGAAAGCGCTTGTAAGGATGCAGAAAATCCTGCACCTGTTAGGAAAAATAATTATGTACATGCTACGGTTTGTGTAAAAGAATTTCGCACATTAAAAATGTTCATGTGACGTAATTAAAAGTCCAAGAATTTGACAAATATATTTAGGAAATTATTTTTTATATTTGTTCACATAATGAGCCGGTGTAGCTCACTTGCTATAGCAACTAGGTTACAGGTTGTAAAACCGAGGGGTCGCAGTTCAATTCCGGGTAGTTATAAGAAAATTTCTTCTTCATAACGTCCAGACCGGCTCTGGGACCCACCCAGCTTCCTACCCAAAGGGTACTTGGGGGAATTCCTTTAGTGGTAAAGCAGCCGGGGTGTTAAGTTTACCACTCACCTCCAAGTAGTGTCGAGGTCAAAAATGATGGAGCTGTAACTCCACTTCCCCGCATGCCATCATGGTGTAGTGCTTAATTAATTAGGGAAGGGGACATCTTTAGGGGCACGCGGTAGCGTAGTTGGTTGAGGCACTGTGCTAAAAGCCGGAAGGCTGCGGGTTCGAGTCCCGATGAGTTTTTTTTTCCCCCATTTGACCTAATCCTTCCAGATGCAATATGGTCATGGGATCGACTCAGCCTCTAACAGAAATGAGTACCAGGAATCTTCCTGGGGGTAAAGGGCGGCCGGCGCGTAAGGCTGACAACTTCACCGACATCTGTGAGCTGATTGTCTAGAAAATGTGGGGGCCTCGACGTCTCACACACCTATGGGCCTCCACGTCCCGTAACACGGTTAGCTTTGCCATTTCTTACAGATTATAAATATGGATACACAAGATTGCTTTTGTTTGGAATGTAACCCTGTGTGGTCCCATAGATCCATACTGACGTTTCGTACAAAAGTGCTCCGTGCATTATCAGGTTAGAAGGGAAAGCAGAGCTAGGAAGTTGTCGGTTTAAGAAGCACAGGAATCGGACGCTATTGAACCAGTAGGACTAAGGTTAAAGGAGGGCCGCGCCATAGCTCAAGCAGTTAGTGGCTGGCTTCCCAACGCGGCGGCCCGGGTTCGATCCCGGGTCTTGTTAAGTGGGATTTATGGTGGTCAAAGTGGCGCTAGGGCAGGTTTTCTCCGAGTACTTCGGTTTCCCCTGCCAATCTTCATTCCACCAACTGCTCCACAATCACCCTCACCTATCATCTGGGGCTGGTACAATAAGCCAGAAGTGGCCGCAGTACAAGGGACTTGGTCCCACCCCACTAGCAATAAAAAAAAAGGTTAAAGAATATGAGGCTCGGCTTGCAATTCTACCGTGAAGACAGAAGCATATTCCAATTACAAGTCTGCTAATTTGTTCACACTACTAAGTCTCATATTCCAGAAACCAGTAATATTCGTAGACATCGCCTTGAGATCACCGAATTTCACGTAGCTGCAGAGTTTGTGTCATTGTTTTTAAGGTAAACAAGATGGCGGTACGATTTGTTGAAGTTTCTATAACAAAGAAGCGGAAATAAGCCTTTAGCATTTCTCCTCCCCTAGGCCAACGCGTTGGTCCCTATACAAGAGCGTTCCGTTGGAATGCTGAAAACCGGAACTTGCCTTGTTCCTTTTCGCTCGAACAAAACATGTCTGGTGCAATATAATACAAATTCTATATTCAATTTAATGAAGTTACTCATGGAGATTTAGTTCACTGAACCTTTTGGACCGTAGATAAAAGTAAATGATGGACGAAACGTGAAATTAGATTTACAGTTCTTGAGATTTAGTGACAAGCAGAAAGAGATTTAAATTCACTCACTGAAAAATATACTTTAGCTGTCAAACAAAACGGCATATTTAATTCGAAATTATTATCGCTGGTTTGAATATGATACGATAGATTGGCACCAAGTTTGCTACCTGATTGAGCACCGAGGCTGCATGTTATTGAGAGATTGATTTCGAGGATAATACAAATTTGAATAACAAACCTACTTCAGAATATAATGAAGACTGACAGGAAGAACAGGAGTTGAGCAAGGTAACTCACGAGTAGGCTTAGAGCAATGGCAGTTTCTTACTTTTGCGAAGTGGATCGCCGAACAAGTCGAGTGTAGAGGTGATGCTTCTCACTTGTATTCGGGAGGTGTTTCTCTGAGCTAACGATTATCATGAGTGAAGGTCATCATGGTTTTCTTCAGTTCCTTCATGCAAATCCCAGAATACCAGCTTAAATGGGCATGGCCCCTTTCATCTATACTTTCTTCAATCGTTCCTTATCAACTAATCAACCTAACGATCTACGCTAATGAACCAGGTTAGTGTAGTCGTAGTGCTCTAGATTTGTATTCAGGAGGTTCATGGTTTGAATATCTGCCGGGACACCGAATATCCTGAATGAGGATTTTGAGGTCATCAGTCTCTCTTCAAAAATGTCGTGATAATTTCTCTACTATACCACAACTACTTTCTTCCAAACTATTTCCAATTAATTTTATTCATTTCTTCATCGATGACACTACAGCCCTTGGTTGGGCCCTGGCCTTTTTTTCAGTTTCGTAATCTTTTTTACATAGAGGGTAGGGCTCCTTTGAAGAGTGATCAGCACGTAGCATGGCCGCTAGCTACACGCAGGACAACAGAAACACAGAATAAACGCACACAAAATTAGACACACAGTCTTGAGTGGGATTCAAACTCACGATCCTAGCGTCCGAGCAAGCGAAGACAGCGCGGCCACCGTGACCGGTTTCGGTTTATTATTCATCAGTAATTCTTACATTCGACGCCATCTGTAGTCAGTGTACTGACATCGTCGTTAAAATAAACCATAAATAAAAATGAATTACAAATGTTTGTTCTCATGTTACTGTCACGTGTTCGAGTGACGATAGATGGGCATGGTTTGGTAATCAGCCGTGACTACGGATCACTGTCACACAAAGTTCCCAGTCACCGTCTTCACTGCTCTGCTTGTTAACTTCTTGCAAAAGTGGGCGTTCCTCTGCTCCCGTGTTCACGTCCTCATAGGCTGGCGGCCATATTTTTCTTATTCAGTGTCATATATAATATAATGTTGAAATTCTAATGTACGTATATATTTAAGTATCTTAACATATTAGTCTTATGTATATATACATAAGAATTTTAATGTGGTATTATTATTATTTTACTGCAATTGGGTGAGCACCCTGTGACAGTGGATCTGATACAGAAGAGGACAGACTATACATAAAATGAAAAATACAAAACAAAATACATAAAATAAACAAGGAACACATTTGAATCAGAAATCTATGACTTGAATATATTATAAAATTGAGGCGTATTTGCTCAAAGCAAGAACAGTGAAGGCAGAAAAACAGCCGTTGCTAGGTAATGACCCGTACACAAGGCAACACGTACATGTATATATGTTAAGAGTTATTGCAGTTCAGTTGATTGCGGTGTGCCGTACTGTGTTACACGTAACCTCTCATACTCGAGTTTAAGTGTAGAATATTTGGATTTCCGATGTTTCGATGTGATTCTTGGTACTTGATGTACTGCATCGTGCTATAATTCATACAGTAGCAGCGTTAAGACTTCTGATTCAGCACGTTTCTGGAATTAATTTGGTTCGCACATGGAATCTGAGCTGTTCACAACGGTGAATATTCATGTCATGGTCTTCTGGGTTGTGACAACGTGTAGTTAAGTAGGTGGTTACCAAAGTTTCATAGGAACCAGTAGCTTTCGTGGGGCAAAACGCCGGTAACCACTCACAACACACATGGAGATATCTCAGTAGTTGTTACTCGCTTCCTTGTAGAGTTGTACAGACTAGCGTTCTAGTGATTGTAACATCTGTTGTGCACAGCCTGGTCGGAGTCCTCGTTTCGAATATCTTGTGCGTCTGGATGCTCTGTCGTCACCATCAGTGTATCAGGAATGCGGAACCCAACTGACGTGCCGTGTGGTGGAAGGCCAAGGTGGCGACGGGATCCCACAAGGCTTCGCAAAAGTGCGACTACAAGGCGAAGGTGCTGAACAGTGGGCAGAATTCATCAACCCAGCGGGGTTTCTGCGCAGGTGGGTGAACCATTGCCTGCATTCAGTCGACGTGCGCGTAACTTACGTGTTTCCAAATCTGCAACACCATGTACTCTCATTTCGTGAGCATTTTGATATAGTGCTTGAGTCTAGGTTTATGGAGTCGACTCCAGAAGTTTTCGTGATTTTCCTCAGTCCCTTCAGCCTAATCCTGAGATTAAGTCCTTCAATTGCAGCCTTTTTCATAGCAATATATATTTACATGTCACGGCCAACCCCTCCAGGAGTCAGGATAACTCAGTCGGTATAATGAGAGGCTACAATCCCTGGGTTCGATTCCTGGCAGGGGCAAGATATTTTTATCTTCTTCACAGCGTCCAGACCGGCTATGGAATCAATCCATTCTCCTATACGGTGGGAACTGGGGGCTATTTCCTCAAGGTCAAAGCGGCCAAGACGTGAAGCTAGCAACTGAACTCCATCTCGTGCCGAGGGTAAGAATGGTGGAGCTATGTCTCCGTTCCCCTTTACTCCTTCATGATTTAAACCGAGGGACAAATTGGCCTTGTGTTCAATCTCCCATTTTATTAGATCTTTTTAACATCCATAGATGAAACAGGGTCGGTAAATAACTTATGGCTAATCAACCACGCTCCTGTTTACATTTATGCATTTATGGAATTATAGATGCCTCTTTCAAAAGACTATCATAGCATTCACAACGGTTAGAGGAAAGAATTGTCAGACAGTATAAACTGTTCTCTACGCGGTAGCGTAGTTGGTTGAGGCACCATTCCATAAGCCGGAAGGTCGCGGGTTCGAGTCCAGATGAGATGGATTTTTTTCAATTGACCTAATCTTTCCAGCCGCACTATGGCCCCGGGGCAGACTCAGCCTCTAACAAAAATGAGGACCAGGAATCCTCCTGGAGGTTAAAGGGGGCCCGGCGCGTAAGTCTGACAACCTAACCGCCATCTGTGAGCCGAATTTCTAGCTAATGTGGGACCCTCGACGCCTCACAATCCTATACGCTTCCACGGCCAGTTACAGGGATAGCTTTACTTTTATAAACTGTGCTCTGGAATAAATTCGATCAAGGCACCTCCGAGAAGAACATACATTATGAAGAAAGCAGTCTTCTGGGATTTGGCANCATTCTATTTGATACTTGAGCTAAATCCGCTTTAGCTGATAGTCAGTAGCAAATCTAAGCGCTACTCAAATGAAACTAATTAGGGAATGTCCCTTAAAATCCGACACAGTCGGATATTGTAGGCGGAAAAGTCGCAAAAGATATTATACATTGGAAAATTGTCAACTACTCACCCGGAAACCAAGTCCCGAAACGTCATGTATGTCGAACACACAGTATATGCCAAGAACAGTACTGAAATGAAAAGACTTCAACTTCAACATATAACGAATACAACCGTCATGGAGCATCCTCCAGTCTACACTAACTTCATGTCCCACAGGAACAAATAGCTTCTCCAGGTATCTGAATGGGAGGCGCAGTGAGAATTGTCGGATAATTTGATTATAATGTGTCAAAATTTCAGAGACAAAATCCAGGAGAGATTTGTAGAGCTGCTGGCTCAAGCAGCGGCAAAGGCTTCGGCCCCTGTGAGGCCGGACCTAGTGGACGAATCTCGTCTCTGCGGCAGTCCAGGCAAGATCGTGGATGTCGGTCTCCTGGACCAGCTACTGAAGCTGTCACCTGAACAGCAGCTCTTCTATGGCCCAGGTACGCACCCCACACCGTAAGGTAAGGCGAAGTTGTTCCTGTGCTCAACTAATAAAGCACTACGCCATGAAGGCGTATGGGGGAGTGGATGTATAGATCCACATTTTCTTGACCTCGGCAATAGTTGGAGGTGAGTGGTCAGGTAGAAATAGCACGTCATTAACGCATTAGCCTTTGGGATGGAAATTGTTTCATGTGTAAAGGTTCGGCCACACAGAGCGCTACGTACGCTATGTTCGCTATACGAACAGAAAAATATCTCCCTTTATTGCCAATGTGACTGGTCACACAGACTTCTGTATGCTACGTACGCTACGTACGCTACGCACGCTATGTTCCCTATTTTAGCTGCGTGATCATGCGTACACAGGGTACGTAGCGTACGTAGCGAACATGCGTAGCGCTCTGTGTGGCCGAACCTTAAGACTGCGTGAGATATGGCTGCCTAGTTCCCACGACAGGGAAGTACTGTTTTATATAAAATTATAATATTTCTAAATCTGTAAATTTACACGTTTTTTGGGAATAAACTTGGATCTTCTGAGGACTTCTTCTTCTTCTGATCATCCAACATAGCCAGAGATCAATTTAATATCTTATGAAGAGTCCGGCTATCTGGATATTAACTGCTTGTAGCTGGGAGAAAGCACAACATTTTAGGGGAACAAATCACCGTCATTTCTAGGAACGAAGAGTAAGCCAAGAAGGAACCAACAAAATAAGTTAGCAAAGAAGAAGGAATCTCCGATACAGAACATAACGTCCACCAAAAACTACAGCCCATCTCCCCCATATCGTAATAAAATATACATTTACCCTAATCACACCCCCGAACCTAAATATACTCACCTTATCACCTCAATTCTAAATTTTATAAAACTATCCCAAAGTCGTGAGCCGAGATAGCACAGTCGGTTTAGCGATAAGCTACTGGCTGGACGACTGAGGGCTCGAAGTTTGAGTCCCGGTGAGGTCAAGAATTTTCATTTTTGCATGTCGTTCAGACCGGCTCTGGGGTTCACCCAACCTCCTATACAGTGGGTACCGGAGGTAAAGCGGCCAGGGTGTGAAGCTGACCTACTCACCTCTAACTAGTGCCGAGGTCAAGAAATTGTACATCCACTCCCACATACGTCTTCAAAGCGTAGTGCTTAATTGGTAACGCATAGGGTTAACTTTGCCTTTTTATTGTAATTTTATATGACCTATGTCAACACTGGGGGCACGCGGTAGCGTAGTTGGTTGAGGAGGCTCTATGCTATAAGCCGGAAGATCACGGGTTCAAGTCCCGATGAGGTCATTGGATTTTTTCAATTGGCCTAATCTTTCCAGCCGCACTATGTCCCTGGGGTCGACTCAGCCTCTAATAGAAGTGAGTACCAGGAATTAATTAAATAATTTTCCTGGGGAGTAAAGCGCGGCCGGCGCGTAAGGCTGACAATCTTACCGCCATCTTTGAGTCAGCTGGCTAGATAATGTGGGACCCTCAAAGTCTCACAACCCTATGGGCCTTCACGGCCTGTTACAGGGATAGCTTTACGAGTACATTAATTTTATATCAACATTTCTGTATTCCTCACCAATCATCTGATGATGACCCTTCTGGGCCGAAACATGTTGTGAGTGGAATAATACAAATATTTGTTTGTGTGAAGGTAACCCATCCATTTGAATTTGTAAACACCACACACAGGATGCAACACTACAAGATAAAATGTAATATTTTTATAATTCACATTACTGAACTCAAGTGCGAAACTTAAATTTGCGTAATACAAAACAGTTTCGCACTTGAGTCTCTCTATCCTGAAACTGATGCTAAACCAAGTTGTTCTGCATTTGTGTGGTGTTTTAAGCGGACTGCAACCAGAGTCGCTTTCCGGATCCACGCGACTTCCGGATCGCTATTGTCGAGGGCGCCCCCGAGGTGCGGCTGAGGATCGGTTTCTTGTCACCTGCCCTTGCCGGGTCTCGAGCCGAGGACGTAGAAGTGAAATTGATCCTCGGCGTGGGCTGCTCCGGCTGGCCACAGTCAAGTGACTTCCCAGCCCGCGCGCCTCTGGGACATATCGACTGTCTGTTGTTTCAGAAGGCAGCCCAGACGGTAGGTTATTCACCACACGAATGCAGTAAACTGGGGCACACATTAGCATAGTTGGTTGAGGCACTGTGGTACAAGCCGGAAAGTCGCGGATTCGATTCCCGATGAGGTCATTGGATTTTTTCAATTGACCTAGCCCTTCCAGCCTCATTATGGTTCTCGGGTCGACTTAGCCACTAACAGAAATGACTACCAGCAATATTCCTGGGAGTAAAGGGAGGCCGGCACATAAGGCTGACAAGTTCACGGCCATCGTTGGCCGTTGCCTAGAAAATGCGGGACCCTTGACGTTTCATAACCCTATGGGCCTTCACGGCCAGTTATAAGGATAACTTCAACTTTTTATGCCATAAACTAAATTCAGAAATTTAATTACAGTAACTTCACCTCATTTATACCCGTTGTTTCATAAGTTGTCTATCATACTTATGGAAGCAATGGTAAATAGAAAACGTCAATAAAACAATGGTTCTCTTTCCAACCGTAGAGGAGCTACGAGTGTTTTTGGTGCTCGCAAAAGAAAAAAGGCTATTATGCAGATATATTTATTGGCATATTTTATTAGATACAACACAAAAAACGAATTTGAGAAATTCTGTATTCGACTACAAGGCATCATAACCAGGAAGGCCACGATAAGAATATTAACAGTTGTAGAAACTCAAACCTTAAGCAATAAAAATCATCTTAAAGAGAAAGATGATCCTAGAAGTCATCTGACTCATAATAAAGGTCAGTAGTGGCTCTTGTCTATGTGGTAATGTACATTCAGACACCCTAAAAAGTCGGATAGCTTCTTGAGCCATGCCGAGATGCTGTAGACTTCTCGGGAACGACGTTACATTCTCGTGAGAAGGTTCCTGTTAAGTTCTGGGTGTTGCAGGGCTTCTACCTTGTTCCGGGCCCGCCACACCCCACAGTTCGATGTGACGACCGCACTGCCACCTGGCAGATCTGGCTGCCCGCAGCAGAACTCACCTTGCTCACACACTACTCCGCTTCCAGCGTACCCTCCAGGGTGCTTGTCGTCATGGAGACGATTCTGCAGCAGTTGCGGGGACGTACCAGTCGACAAGTTCTTGGCGGCTTCGGCCTTCCTGTTACGAGAAATCAGGTGATCCCGTCCGACTAACTGCTAAATGTTGTTAGCCCTCACCAGCATAGCGGTTGTTGGCTCCGAGTCCCATGGGTCACATGACCACATTTTAATTTCTGACGACCCTGAGGGCATTCTAATTTCCTGAGGCCATCCGATGATATGGTTTGGTCATTTTTATTCTTCTGGCCGCTATCGCCTGAGCAAAACTGACGTGTTCATCACGTATTCCCACATATTTTCTTTATAATATTCCCACATAAGTCCGTGAGGTGTTGTATTTGAACATTGTTGGCTTTCGACTCATGGCGTAAGAAAAAATGTTTCTTCTTCATCAGTTGATGGATTATGCCCTCTGGCATGTTCACATTTGAGAATTGACCTGAAAACTATGAGTCAGTTATTAGAGACAGTTGTTAGAACTCCTACGAAGGAAGAAGAGCCCGTCGCAAGGCCGCTGTGTCTTCAGATCAAAAGAAACTTAGAACAAGCAGGAATACATCTATGCTTTGAGTTGGATTTGAACCCACGACCCTAGTGTTCCAGCTGGCAAAGATATGTGGTGACAAAGACCGCGCGGCAGCTGCCATCGGCAGCAGTTGGTCTACTTTTGTAAAATAAAGAGAGTAATGCTGAATTTTACAAAATAGTTCTAGACCAAACTTATTTCGTGAGATAAAAAAGTATTTTTGTTGTGAGCATATAAAATTTACACTCTATTTGAAGAACCTTGTTAAATAAATACTTCCTTCTGATAACTAGTAGTGATAAATGTGATATTCCTCATTTTTACTTATGAATATGAATTTTAGGGGGCACGCGGTAGCGTAGTTGGTTCAGGCATTATGCTACAAGCCGGAAGGCCGCAGGTTCGAGTCCCGATGCGGTGGATTTTTCAAATGATCTAATCCTTCCAGCCGCATTACGGCCCTGGGGTCGACTCAGCTTCTAACAGAAATGAGTACCAGGAAACTATCTGGAGGTAAAGGGCGGACGGCGCTTAAGGCTGACAACCTCACCGCCATCTATGAGCCGATTGTTTAGAAAATGTGGGATTTTCTATGTCTCACAACCCTATGAGCCTCCATGGTCTGTTACAGGGAGAGTTTTGTCTTTTTTTAGTAGGCGAAATCCTTGGAAAAGATACAGTGAATCATTTGGAAAATACATTAACAAGTTAACGTTACGTTCATATTGAAGTTCAAAGCAGTTGATTCTGGAAATGTTTTGTACCATTCTTTCATAATCTCTTATATTCCCGTCACCTCTTTGAAAGAATGTTTGAGAAAAGGGGGAGCAGGATTGGGACGGAAGCCCATGCGAAACAAGCTGCCCCCTTGCGGTACACGATTTCAGTGTTAGAATATTTATTTCATTTTATTTTATTTTGCTTTTAGTTAAGTGAAAATTGAACAGTGCTGACCTTTTGTTCGGAACTTGACTATTAACTGGCAGTAATTTAAACACGTTTCTCAGTAATTAAAATAATATTATTTTTAGATATAAAATATTTGTGACATATTTTATGATAGAGTCTGAAAATTTCGTGTTACCAATTGTGTCGAAGCTGTAAGAAAGGTGGTCTGTTTTCAAATTAAGTGGGGCGGCGGTGAAATATCTCATATCAGGTGAAGAATTTAAGATTTCCCCACTCCTCTTGTGAGTATTATTTTAAATCAAATACGTGATGAAACAGAACTGATAAAGTTTCACGCTGAATAAATCCATAGCTTGCAGTCATGCTCCTCAAGGCATACTATAAGCTGGAATGGACAGAACGTGAAGCACCCATGGAGGAGCTTTGCTTTACGCTGTAAGGACGTAATCCACAGACAGGCAAATAGTCATGATGTATGTGATATGTGCGCAGGAGTTCCTGAAGGTGGTGAGCCGGTATATGTTACGGACACTACTCTGGTTCCAACTGGAGCACACCAGTTCGAGTCCGACTGCCATGCTCCTGTCATGGACGTCCGACACGCTGGCCGTTCACGTCCTGCGTCTCGTCGATGCACTCATCGTCGCCCTTAAGACTCAGAGGTTCCGTTCGTATTTCTTCCCTTGGTGCAATGTGATGCTTCATTCAGTGTCAGGCGGCCAGCACCATCCAGAGGAAGACTATCTCAGTGACGGAGAGATCCTGGAAGGTTTCCTCACGTGCCTGTACGAGGATTCGGCCACGGTTGTAGTGCCACCTGATGATGATGACGTGGACACGAAACGGTGTCTCATATCGGAGCGACTGGAAGTGGCGATCATACGAAAATGGGGGGGCGTTCTCGCTGACTTGGCTCCACCTGCAACGACCAGGTGAGTTTCTCTGTGAATAACCATTTGTTATCTCAAATAATACAGAGGTTGGTTATTGACTGGATGAACTGGCTTCTCTTTCTTGCAGCAGTAGGGTCTTATCCTTGGCACAACTTCGAGACTCACTTAGGGGGCCCACCGAGCCTCATATGTAACGGATACAGGGATGATTCTTCAGCGCATTTTGCGAGTTACTGACACTTGCTGTTTGTGGTGTTTGCTATTATACAATTTATAAGCTTTTGTCTTCCGTTTTATATTTAAAAAAATAAAAATTAAACATTGAAACCTGTAATTTTACCTGTAAATTCCTCATATTAAAGCGAAATCAGAAGGGACGAGGGTGTTGAGGTGTATATTCGGACCTTCGAGACAGGAACTGACAGAAGGCTGCAGACAATTACACATTGACGAATTTCATATTTTTGCACTAGTTATCAACCATCATTAGAATGGTATAATTGAGAAGGATAAGATAGACGGGGGCATGTCACCATCGGATAGATCAGAAATGCATACAAAGTATTGGTCGGGAAACCTGAAGGGAGGAACAATCTAGTCGTAGGTTATTAAAATGGGATTCAAGAAAGAAGCTCGGTAACTGTGGGCTGGATTCAGGTGTCTCAGGACAGGGACCAGTGGCAAACTGAAGTGAATGGAGCCATGAACCTTCTAAATTCTTAAAAGGAGGCGAATTTTTACCCACTTGGGCTTCTTAAAAAGGGGGTTGCTGTGTCTATATATTTGCTTAATTAATACTTCTTAATCCGTTAGGTCCAGAAGACTGAGTTTCGGAAACAGGACACTGAACCCCGCGACGTACACGACAGCAGGTTACACGCAGTACACCCCTCGGCAACTGGACTACATTGCGCAACTCTTCCGAGAGATGCTTCTGGTTCGCCAGCTAACACTGCAGGTACTTCATAACAACATTATCATTGTCGAATTTTTTGTCTGTACCTTGTCTGGTGCTTTCCATTCCCTTGCAAAACTTCTTTGGCAAAACAGTATTATTATTATTATTATTATTATTACTATCAGTAGTAGTAGTAGTAGTGGGGTGCACGCGGTAGCATAGTTGGTTGAGGCACTATGCTACAAGCCGGAAGGTCGCGGGTTCAAATCCCGATGGGGTCATTGGATTTTTTTCAATTGACCTAATCCTTCCAGACGCACTATGGCCCTGGGGTCGACTCAGCCTCTAACAGAAATGAGTATCAGGAATATTCATGGAATATTCTTGGGGATAAAGGGCGGCCGGCGCGTAGGGCTGATAGGGCTGACAACCTTATCGCCATCTGTGAGCCGATTGTCTAGAAAATGTGGGAACCTCAACATCTCACAACCTTATGGGCCTCCACGGCCTCTTACAGGGATGCCTTTATTTTTAATTCAGTAGTATTAGTATTAATAGTAGTAGTAGTAGCAATATTCTTAGTATCAATAGCGGCACTACTCAGTAGTGCCAGTAAGAAAGACTCCAATGTACTGGAACAGTTTCAATTTCTTCCCAGCGCTTTCGCAAAGAAGGATTTCAAGAATGCGCCCATTAGCTCTGTCATGTCTGCCTGTCCATCCGTTCTTCTGTCCTCTTGCACTAATTTGAGAACCACCATAGAGATTTCATGAAATTTTGTATTGGGCATAACACTGAAAGTTGTCAACAAATTCCAATTTTGAAGAATACCGTCTTCTGTGATGTGGCATCGTGTAGATCTTGTGTGAATCGACGTTTCGAAAAAAGTATGGCCTCTATCTTCAGGGTAGAAAACTCTGTGAGCCCTCCCTCTATATACACTCATTCTTTGTTTTAATCCAAACACAAATAATTATTTTTGTACAAAATATTCCAGGTTTTATTGTTTTTAATTCGCCTAACAATATGTATGCTTGCAAATGTTTCCGTTCGAGCTTCAGTTGATTGTAATAACGGCTGCACTGAAGATATATTTTCATTATATTTTATTCTTTATACCAATTAGACTGCCTCGTAAGATATTCAGAAACTGGGGTATGACACCACGGCAAAGGCAAGTATTTTTCTATTCTCCGCAGCGCCTCAAATGGCGCTTGTATCCACCCTTCTCCGTCCTGAGTCACTTCCATTTACATCCAGGCTAAGAATGCATGGAGCTATGTTTTCTTTCCCAAACATATTTTAATAGTGTGATGATTATTTGAGCTCAGGGGAAAATTTTCTTCTACCTCTTTAATAGTAGAGGCAATGCAAATAAATGATTTTTTCTGTAAATTAGATACTAACTTCCAATTTTGAGACGAACTTCATATTTCCTTTTAATTTACTTTCAGAGTCATAACTCTCCAACGTGGTTCCAAGTGCCTCAACAGACGTCAGATCCAACTCTCCAGCAGGAAGACCCTGTGGAGGACCTGATATATCTCCTGTCAGCTATCTTCGAGCAAGCAAAGGAACTGGCCCTGGGTGACATGGGCAGCACTCCTGTGGGAACATACGTTGCTCCCTCCGGCAGGTCTAGAAGACGGACTTCCTCTAAAAGGAGTGTCCGCAGGAATCTGGGAACCAGAGTCGATAGTGACAGTAAACTGAGACACAACTTCGATGCTTCCACCATCTTATTGATCGATTCGGTTCGTCGAGATGTTGATACGTCAAATGCAGATCTGTCAGATGATTCAGTGTTGGTCCGCCATGTTTTAAAGTGGTTGTACAAAGGACTGGATGAGTACAGGAAACATATGGCTCCAGTTCTGAGGCCATACCTGAACCGCTTGTTTGCTGCATCTCATGAAAACTGCTGGCATCTTGAAGAGTGGAGACGGAGGCTAGAAGATCAAGAGGATGAGGTGCGGGTGTTGGGGGCTTTCTGCCACCTGGTGACAGCTTCAGAAGTGAGCCCCACCGGAGCTTTGCTTGATGCTGTTACTAAGGGGTGGACATGGGCCGGGAACATGTTGGACATGGCGGAGTATCTCGTGCAGTCGGACATCACCGGGCAGCCGGAAGTCGGACTGCAGCTTGTGTTCACACCGGCAGAGGACAAAGTTATTAGACAGTGTATTTCAGTGCCATCTTCACGTGATGAACAACTTCTTCAACCGCCTGAAAGCAGATATTCGACTTACAGCAGCTCGAAGTCGATATATAATCGTTTCACAGGAACTTTGAAGATGAAGAAAGCCACGTCGTCGAGGGGAGCGTCTGTTACATTGCCGTCACTTCTGGCACAGCAATGCAACAACTGGGTTTCTCAAGGTTAGCCTCCTAATTGGAACTTAATTATAATTCTACGCATTCGTAATGGGTTCTTTATGGCGTGGAAGTAAATCTCTTTACCAGATAGGGGTCCATGGCTCAGCTTAACGATCCGGCCATCTTTACTGCTTGAGAAATAAGTATCTTCTTCAAACGTATATGTGTTAGGGAAATAGTTGGCTCTAAAAGTAATTCTGGCGTCACAGCCAAGAGAGGAATGTTTTCACGATTCAGGGGTGACTAATAAAGGAAATTTGGAGACAATTCCCTTCTTTATAATTGTTAATTTCCCCATTAATTTAGCCCAGAAAATTTTAGGAAATATTTATTTCACTCGAAATTTCATGTTTGTATATATACCTGAAAATATAATTAAAAACAACTGTAATAAAATATAAAAATAGTGATATTTGGAATGGAAATTTTTTGTGCTGACTCGACAAAACAGATTCTTAGTATGAATTAAAGCTTGTGTACTAATGGGAAATCAGGTTATGGCACTTTTTATAGAGGTTAAAGAGAACAAAGTGGTCAGTACTGTTCGTAATATTTCGCTGTAGTTATTTTGAAATGGAAAAAGTCATCTGTACTCTTTTATCTTCGACCTGTACAATCACTGAGCTAGAACCACTCCTTTTTGAAATCAACTTACACAGTTTCACTTCGACACAGATATGCGAATTGTTTACTACATTGCACATAGCGGGCTGTTCTGAAGTTCAGCACAGTTAGCAATATCTGCCGAAACGCAACACAGTAGCGATATCATGCGCTCCAGTTTGAAGTAAGCCTGCATAGAATTTCGGAAAACGCATATTTATTTGTTTTATTTGTAATAGGTAACATGAAACATTTCAGAGAAACGACAAAGTAAATTAAATCGGTGGATCTGACCTAATATTAAACCACGAAATCCAATATCCAGTATATGCTAATGATATTTTCTCAACAGAACAAAACATTTCCTTTTTCATGAACATGTTTCTAGGATACTGTCATTGTTTCCATTTTACAGAATAGCATTTTCCACGGAAATAACATTGCTAACATAAGTCCTTTGTAAATCCTCCTTACACTCTTAAGGCAAAGCTATCCTTGTAGCAGGCCATTAAAGCCCATAGGGGTTGTGAGTCGTCGAGGCTCCTACATTCTCTGTAGACAATGTACTCACAGATATTGGTAAAATTGTCAGCATTACGCGCCGGCCGCCCTTTATCCTGGTACTCATTTCTGTTAGAGGCTGAGTCGATTCCGGGGCCATATTGCGGCTGGAAGGAATAGGCAAAATGAAAATATCCACCTCATCGAGACTCGAACCCACAACCTTCCGGCTTTTAGCATAGTGCCTCAACCAACTACGCTACCGCGTGCCCTGTTTAAAATTTTATGTCCCTCATAAATACAAGACCCGCATCGTAGCAGTCGACAATGAATACGAAACTAGTCTACTAAATACAACACATTTTGGGGAAGCTAATAGTTGCTCATATGATCACAAACTTCTCTGTCTTTTATGGAATTAAAAATTTCTACCACCGTCACACAAACCAGCTATTTTACTCTAATTTCAAACAGAGGAATGCAAGTTAGATTTGAGGTTTTCATGGCCGTGACTATGAAGAATCCAATCCCAAAATACATCGTGTTCCTTTTCACATATTCTGCCGTCTAATCTCAGGTTTCGCAGGTTCCTTTAAAATCTGTTTTAATTATTTTATTGCATGCAAGTATTACCCAACTTGGGCTACCAGTAATCTTGTTCTGGAGCACATGTAGTTGTTTAATTACCGAAGTTTTGGTCGTATACTGCAGGACTTGGAAGCAGTGCGTCTGTGGGGAGAATTGGTAGTCAGCCTCCCCACTGCCGACTACGAGACGCCAGCCCCCTGACCCTTCTTCTGGACGCCCGGCGGCGTTATGGACATCAGAGGGGAGTTGGGGACATCGTCCAGGCACTCGTCTCATTGCAGAAGTTCTCTGTACGTAATGGCAATACAAAACCTGAGTAGAGTGTGCGGGCCAGAATGGGTTAAGACAAATTCGTAAGAATTGTTAAGTGTCTCTAGCAATTTATGTATTTCACGTGGATATCTATAGATATCTATGTTTTCCGACTTCCTTTGCCATAGGCTTGTAGTGTCGAGTTGTATGATGACTGTGAACTGTGAATTGGAAGAGACGCGACGGAAACGGTCCTCGAATATCTTAACGTTCTGTGACAGAATTTGCCTGGAAACAGTGACGAAATGACGAAAACTTTAGGACAGCTGATTTCCGAATGAAGATTCAGAGGAGAAGCTCCGGATTGGAATTTTTCTCTTCTTTTACATTCAGAAGCTCCACTATAGCTGCGATAGAAAGCAGTCAATTTCTCTTTTCTTAACATAGACGAGATATCCGGAATTTGCTTCATTTAATCTGAGATTTGTTATAGATTTTTTTACATTAGTGAAAATTATCGGAATTGAATATAATTAATATCGAATACAAAACTAAATGAATACCAACAAAATATATGACAACCCGTTACATTAAGACAGTAACTATTTGAGCCTTTATCTGGAAATTTGTCTGAGACAATTGGCATTACTTACTTAATCCGTTCCTCTTCTACCTTACGGTGTCGAGGCTGTTTTTCTTTCATTTTGATCATTTTACAGACGGTAGGACTCCTTGGACAAGTGATCAGCTCGTCGTAAGGCCTCTACCTAAACACAGGACAACACAAACACAGAATGAACACATACACATAAAAACACCAATCCTTGTATGGGATCGAACACACGACCCCGGCTTCCGAGCGAACGAAAACAGTGTTTGCCTTAGACCGCTGGGCTACCGTGACCGGCGATAATTGACATGGCCTATACAAATGCGCTATTCGCCACTCGTCCATTGTGCTATAAATTTGCACAAGGCACCCAAAAGGACATCCCCGAATATTTTACCACTCATTACGTCTGTACCGTACCGGATGTGAGAACTCGGTGCAGTAAGGTTCAGTACCTTGTTCAGCTACCCTCAATTCGCGTTTCCCTGAAGTGTCTATCACTTAAATTTGAATCAGCCTCGCTCAGCTCCCTACAGTATTCTGATGAAGCAGTTAAGGAGATTTGATCTTAGGGCCGGCTTTTAGCCTGCGGATACCGCACCGCCAATGGAATTAACTTCAAAACGAATAGTTTCGTGTCTGGAACAGTAACGAAGTTGTTGGATTAGGCTTCGACATAATATAGTTAGTTTTTCTTCACGACAGTAATCGCTGAACACACACATGTTCGGTCCAGAAATATACTCGTACAGAGGGAAGACTTCAGAGAAGTTATAAATGTACGGGACTGTCTCCCCAAACTAGAAAAAAGTAAACTAGAATTCGTACAGCACAACCACAGAGAATTGCATACGTTTTTCTTGCCAAGTGTGTGAAGATAACGCACAGCGCAAGCGCATTATCCACCTCACTGCCTGAATCCATATCTCCTAAACCGTTTCACAGGTTTGATGAAGAGGTCAACGCTTAACTGCATTTCGTGTATATGTGTATACATTTAACAATATATAATGCAATTCTTTGTTTATTCTTTATGTATTTACATGCTCATCTAAGAGGTTAAAGACTAATTATAAAGTAAACAGTAGCAAAGAAGGTAACAAAACAAACCCACAAACGCAAACGCAATACAAAACAAAACAAGACAATAATATACGTATAATAACACAAATTCAAAAGTGCAATAGCACAAATCATTGTAAGTTGAGAAAAAATATGCATATATCCTTATTGAATATGAGTGATAAGTTAATGACTAATACGATTAGAAAATATGATTAGGAGAAACAGTTTTGGTTCCAAATACTTCAGCGTCCCTGCAAACAACATTTGCAATCTAGCAGAAGAGCAAGCAGGAAGAAAGAAAATTCTCTGATATAACGAGCCGGAACTCGAATTTCAGAAGCAGGCTAGTACGTTGTAGTGTCTCTGTTGTTAATGTCTTCTAACATTTCTCTGTAAAAAGAATGCCTTCAGCGACTACACAAATTTCTAAATCAAAAGTGTAATTGTTCGCATCTAGAGGTCTTGTGACGAGCTGATCATCCGCCCAAGGAGTCCTACCGAATGTATAGGATCTAGATAAACCGAAGTGAAAGGAGAAGTTCGTGGAGGTAGGCCTAGGCCCACTGGGGCTGTAGTGCCAAGGAAAAAATAAATTGTTCGCATCATTCCACAGAGAAGTTAGTGAGCATGAAGATATAGCTGCACACATCCTAAACTTGGAATTAGATGGAGTTCTTTTGTTTGTTTGTTTGTTTTTTTTTTTGCTAGTGGGGTGGTACTAAGTCCCTTGTACTGCGGCCACTTCTGGCCTATTGTACCAGCCCCAGATGAGGGTGAGGGTGATTGTGGAGCAATTGGTGGAATGAAGATTGGAAGGGGAATCCGAAGTGCTCGGAGAAAACCTGCCCAAGCGCCACTTTGTCCACCACAAATCCCACTTGACTAGATCCGGGATCGAATCCGGGCCACCGTGGTGGGAAGCCAGCAACTACCCGCTTGAGCTATGGCGCGGCCCCCCTAGGTGGATATTACTTAATACCAAATTCCTTCTTCTTTTTCTTGTGAAAAAGGGGCTTCAGTACCAATTGGTTAGGAGGGTGAGTAGGACCCAGAGCCATCCTGGACACGGTGGCGAAGAGAAATATCACTTTCAACACAGGGTATCGAACCCTGGCCATCCAGCCGTAGTCAGCAATTATTTAGTTGTAGCCCTAATTGTATTATTTGTAGAATCGCTTTACTTTACGTTCAAAGTGTAAATTTGTTAATGTTTGAAGTGTACTCCTTCCTGGGTAGTGAAGCACTGTAGTTGGATAGAAGTTAAACAAGGTTCTTCCGAAATGTTAGTGAACTTTTACCAGAAAATATTGCGTCAAATCCCAGATCAAAATACTGTTCGCAATCATCGCCTTGAAAATTTTACTGATAGTTATTTCTAAAGGAAATGAAATTTTGGGATTCTTCCGGGGACTTATTTTTCATCTTAAATATTATGGGGTGAAATAACCTATCATTATAAGCTTCACTTCCATTCTGAATTAAATATTTTATGGTAACTTAAGAAATACAGTCTTATTATATTATGATGGCGACTGAAGTTTAGCTCTATACGAAATTTGGTTGACTTCATTCTCGCTGATTTGCCTCTCAGGCGATTTATCGACTAGATTGCCGATGATGACTGCACATCAGACAAGAGGAGTGTAGAGGTTATAGCTTTGTGGCACTACCACACACAGAATTATCGGTACTTATTTGCCGAAAATAAATATGAATTATACAGAAAAAATGTATACAACTGAAGAAAACAAAGTGTCTATTAGTGCAAAATTTATTAGTAACACTACATATTCTTCCGCTGCGCCCTCAGAGTTTAAGGCTTGGTTTCCTTCATCAATCTGTATTTCATTCATTTCCTGTGCAACGCCAAAAAAACAAAAAACACACTCCGTCTCTTGAGTCCGCAAACGAACTATAACAACCGAGCGACCGCTGCTTATCGGCGAAGTTAATGCCAACTTTACTTGATAGAGGGTGTCAGGTGGTCAGCGCAACGAATCCCCACGGCCGTTAATCTCGATTTTCTAGACCGGAGCCGCTATTTTCTTGAAATAGCTCCTCGATTATCCTCAGAGACTGAGTAAACCCCGTTTCTGAACCACTACTTCTAAAAAAACTGGTAGCGCTGGAAAGCGAACCCGAGACCTCCTGATCTGTAGCCAGGAACTCTGACCGCTAGACCACAAGGCGGTCTGCCCAAAATCCGCGAGAAAATGAATGGTTTGTTCATTGCAAGGCTGTAATTTGCGTTTCATTGCAGGTGTTGCAGGATGTCTCTGCTCTCCTGCCAGATGATGAACGTGTTCAGATGCTGGATGCTATACAGAAGCTATCGAAGGAAACGCGTCGCGCCGCTGCTGCGAGGAGGGCTCGTACATCCTTGTTGCGTCCCAACAGCGACGCTACGGCCACCAGCCGCACTCTGAGGAACATCAAGAAGAAGTCCCACAACTCTGTCTCCAACCTTCCAGAGATTTACCGTCCCAAAGAAGAATTCCACCCCTACACTTCAGATGCGGCAAAACAGGCTGAGGAGGAACGCAGAGCTCTTGCCTTAAAGCAGCAAGAAAATATAGCACAAAGAGAAAAAGAACTTACAAAAGAACTTGATAAAATTAAGGCTGGTGGTACGCTACTAGGCACGTGTCGTGCAGTTAGGACACAATGTGGTACTGCTAGGCATAATTTCTTAGGGGGTGTATCTGCGTATAATGGGTCCTTAGTTCTAGACACAACTCCGTCTCTGCCATTAATAAGAGAAACATCGTTAACTGCAAATTTCGGTCCATTCGGTTCGTCTTCATATGACGGAATACACAATTCTAATGTGGCTTTGCTCCAGCTGACAGAGGACAGGCAGCTGAGGTTTGCCAGGCCTTCAAATGCGTTGATACATTCAACTGTTCATGTTGACGTCATTGCAGGAAAGGTCATCAGTAGGAAAAGAGATATTGTAACAAAGCTCTGAGCCCATGGAATGAATCTTAATAGTTTCACCGCTAAACATTAATACATTCGAGACATTGGTACTGGATCTGCACTGACAAACCTGGAAGCAGCTGCATATATGCATTTTGAACACCTGGTTTCCAAAAATGTATATAAAAAAAGGAAAAGAATAATTACACCGAGAGGATTTTACTTCTTTACTGGATAATTTACTCGCTATCGAGGGTATATAGTGCAGGGGATAATCGTTCAGATGTACAAGATATTTATTTCCATTTATGGGACCCCAAGGGAGGAAAGGATGAACGAAATGAGGATATGTATTGCAAGATCTCTCGCTCACTCAAGGAGCTGAGCCCTGCTGGAGGAGCCGCCAATTATGCAGCTACTCATGAACTTCCCAGAATTCTATGGAACCCGAAGCTTCATTACCGCGTTCACAAGAGCCCTCCACTGGTCCCTATCCTGAGCCAGATCAATCTTGTTCATATCAACTCATTCTATCCCTCCAAGATCCATTTTAATATTGTTCACCCACTTATGTCTTGGTCTTCCCAATGGTCTTCTTCCTTCCGGCGTCCCCACTAATATCCTATACGCGTTCCTGTTCTCCCTCATTCGTGCTGCATGCCTTACCCATCTCATCCTCCTTGACTTGATCATTCAAATTATACTTGGCGAATGTTTCAAGTTATGAATCTCCTCATTATGTAGTTTTCTCCAGCCTCTCGTCACTTCATCTCTCTTAGGTCCAAATATTCTCAACACCCTGCTCTCAAACACTCTCAGTCTATGTTTCTCCCTTAATGTCAGAGACCAAGTTTCGTACCCATACAGACCCACAGACAAAATTATAGTTTTGTATATTCCAATTTTTATTTTTGGACAGCAGACGAGAAGACAAATATTCTGGACTGAATGGTAGCAAGCATTACCTGAATTAAGTCTCCTATTAATTTCCTTCTGAATCAGGATTTGAAATGTTATAATCGTTCCCAAATATCTGAACTTTGCCACATTTCCGAAACATCTGTTAGCTATCCTTATGTCATGATTTGCTCTGCATTTTGGTGACAAGACAGCAACATATACGTGCACTTAGTTTTCTCTGGGTTTACATCTAGACCAACCCCCTTGCACCTGATGATGGAAACAGAACCAGCTTTCGAAACTTTGTGTTTAAAAGAGCGTAGGATGATAACAAATGTCCAAAACAATAATTATACTCATTATCTTGATCTGTCTTTGTGTATGTTCCATTTTCCGCATTTTGAGACTACAGGAATCAAACTTCAGTCTTAGTAACTAACCTGCACCCTTATTTTACCCGATAGTGCACTGAGCTACTTCTGCATACCCTATACACATTTATATCGTTGTGTTGAAGGACCGACTTGGTCGTACACTGAAATCTATCTTCTACACGTACCTAAAAAAAGGTTGTTTGAAACGTGATTTTGCTCCGTGAACTTTATGATCCACGACGCATCCGTAAGTCCGCGCGCCGAGCAGTCTGAAGAAGAAAATGGAGGCGAAATAAGACTCCGGTAACTACAGAGGAAGTTAGATGACGTCCTTAAACTTTTGTTCAAAGTTTTATGCCCTCATACTCTGAAGTACGACATCCATCAAATCGAAACTTTTAAATCCTCCGGCTGATCAGTTTGAGAGCCCTGCATTATGCAAAGTGTCGAAGTGACGAGAAATGTAAGACGAGAACAGGCCTAACACGAAATAGCAATGCGTGACTCTTCTACCATTTCTGAAATCCTATAAAATAGCGAGTATCTGGTAGAACGTGGTTCTTATCAGTTTTATCAACTTAAATTTAAGTCTGCATACAAATAATTTCTGTTTATAGATAATCTGTTACGAAACTAGCCATTTTCATGTAACAAACTTGCTTCTTCTGAAGCCAAAGGTCCCCCAGTTGAGAGCAACAGAATCCTGCCCTGAGCTAGGTGGAACCAGTCCACACCACCACATCCTGTTTACATAATATTTATCTACGTTTAGGTCTTCAAAGTATAGTCTTTCCAAATTTTTTCCCTTCAAAATACTGCGTGCGTGTTTCTCAAATTCCGTAATTTGAGCTAAATTACCTGTGTACCACTTTCAATTGGTTTGGTCACGAAAACAATCCTGTTAGGTTTTTTTTCCTTGGCAGTACAGCCCCAGTGGGCCAAGGCCTACCTCCATGAACTTCTCCGTTCACTACGGTTTTTCTAAATCTTACACATTCGGTAGGACTCCTTGGGCGGGTGATCAGCTCGTCGCAAGGCCTCTACCTGTACACAAACACAGAAAAACGCACAAACACAAACTAAACATCCATGCCCTGAGCGGGATCCGAACCCACAATCCCGGTTTCCAAGCGAGCGAGGACAGTACATGCTTTAGACAGCTCGGCTATCGTGACCGGCTACCTGGTGTGTTACCTATAAATATTACACAATTACTCTTTGCATAATATCATAATTGGCCGATCACTGTATTCGCGCAGTCTAAATCATGGGCTATCTTCGCTCGCTCGGACGCTGAGATCGTGTGTTCGAATCCCATTTAAAGCATGGATGTTTGGTGTTTGTATGCGTTTATTCTGTGTTTGTGTTGTCCTGTGTTTAGGTAGCGGCCTTGCGACGGGCTGATCACTCATCCAAGGAGTCCTACCCTCTGTGAAAAAATGATTACGGAACTGAATAAAAGGCCACGGCCCTGAATGTGTTGGAAGAGCCATTGAAAATAATCATATCATAAGTTCCTCAACCTCGTGTGATATATTCAGGCAGCCCCCATCGTCAAATTAAGGCAGAGCGTTTTCTAACAAAGAGTGAATGTCGCTGACCGGAGGAGCGCTATTGTTTTGTTGGTGCTCACTGGCTGACAGTTGAACTTAAAAATGTGAAGTGTGGAAGGAAGTTCTGTACAGTGAGACACTTAAATCAGTACAAACGTGTCTCACAGCTTTGGTTCTTTTTCAACAGCCCCGATCAGGAAAAGAGACGAAACCTCAGGTTCTTTTCCAGATGAGCAGCGCCGGTTGCACGTTGCCCTAAGACCAGGCACTGACATTGTCTTCAGATTACTCGTTATATTTTCTGTTCCTGCATTCTCAATCGCGTTTTCAGTTGCTACCTCCCTTAAGCCATTTCTGCACCCTTATGTATATATATATATATATATTCTTTCCGATATCTTCACAGGATTACAAGCTTTTATCAAGTCCGGTAGCGTTCTTGGTTGAGGAACTATGCTACAAACTGGAAGGTTCCGGGTTCGAGTCTCGATGAGGAGGATATTTTCAATTTACCTAATACTGTCAGCTGTAGTATGGCCCTGGGGTCGACTCAGCCTCTAACAGAAATGATTACCAGGAATTTTCCTGCTGGTAAAGGGCGGACGGAGCGTAAGGCTGACAATCTTACTGCCATCTATGAGCCAATTGTTTAGAGAAAATGTGGGAGCCTCGACATCTCACAACCCTATGGTACTTCACGGCCTGTTACAGAGATAGCTTTAAGTTTTACCTGTCTACAAGTACAGACAATTTTCTTTTTCTACAAATCCTACTTATTTCATGCAGACGAAAAAAAAAGTGGGGGGAAAAAACAGTAGAAACCGAAGGCGCTGTTTGCATGGTGCTTTGAATTTGAATTTCTCGTTGTTGTAGCGCAGTGTATAGCAGAAGACTTACGATTCTGAATGCTCACTGACCATGGAAATTATGTTGTGAGTGAATAATGTTTGGCTTCGTGTTTGAACAACATTAATTGGAATGTTTTAACTTACGTACTATTATTAGGATACTGAGAAACTGAAGTTATACGAAACTAATATTAACCCATTTCAATTGCTTGGAAAAGGAATTCATTTAATAATGAATACTTACTAGGCTTCTTCTTTTATTCAAATTCCAATTCAATTTGACAGTACTTTTATTAAATGCGCAATACTGTTAAATTTGGAAAGAGGCAGCTAGTTGGCTTCCTTTACTTTATTATTTGTTTTGATTCAAGATTATTAGGGAAGCATTTCAGATGTCTATTCACAGGGTCTGGAATACTTATACCCTCCAAACTTTGGGATCCACCCATTAGTCTCTGTTGTAATTCACTGCTGAAAATAATAAAGAGAACCTCAGAATTGTGTATAATTCCAGATATTGTGGGGGCATAGGATGTTAGAAGGGGCAGTTCCTCTGCCTTCCATACACGATTCGAATGCCCACACAAATGGTGATGTTTTTGACATGTATTCCAGTGATGACAAACTCGAATCTCGACTAGGACTCCGGCTAAGCTGAACTTTTGTGGTTTTCTTTCAGGTCCTCCGCTCAAACTTCTGCATAGCACCTCATATAAGCCACGATCATTTTCTTTTACATCCTTTCCAATATTATTATTCATTGTTCATATTATCATTCGACAGTATATTTTCTGAGATATTGACAGAGTCGCTGAGTAAGCAATACATAGATACCGACAGGAATTGTTTATATTAATTGAAGTTTTCTTGCCTCTTTATCCACCAAAACACGCTTCACCCTACTCAATTTTTATTTACACAGCCTCAATAGTATACACATCTCCGTGAAGTAATTTAATAAATAAATATTGCTTTTGTAGTACTTTATAAACTTTTACGCTGTCTCTACAGACCCCTTTGGCCCTAGCCTCTGATTTTCAGTTTCATGACCATTTTACAGACGGCAGGACTCCTTGGGCGAGTGATCAGCCCGTCGCAAGGCCGCTACCTACACACAGGGTAACACAAACACAGAATGAACACATACACATACCGAACATCCATGCCTTGTGTGGGAGTCGAAACAACGATCCCGGCTTCCGAGCGAGCCCTAAACCACTCGGCTACCGTGACCGGCCCTTTAGAAACGTTTACTCAGTTAATTCAGAGTTCACACGCCCATCAAAAAGCTTATATTTGTGCATAGTCATTCAGACAATACGAGTACTTTCAGACCAATTTTGCTTTAAATATAATAAGTTCCTTCTTTATTTCCTCCCTCATTCCTTGAAAAAGTACCATATTTACAGTTTAAGTACACACATTGAACTGGTTAATAAACTTCCACAACAAAAATTTAATTTTGAAGTCTTGTTATCCAGTTGCACTCGTCGGTTTGAGATCCGAAGTCCTCAGGGCAGAGGATATTGAAATTACTGCCTTCAGTCATGTGATGCCGTGCAGTTCCACAGAACGACACGGTTTTATCTCAGAAGATCGTAACATTGATGCATCTGTTTGCCAGTTTGAGCAACTGGGTACATAGACGTAGATGAAATAAGAATAGCAAGGAATCCTGAAGATATAAACTGAATTCATCTGAGGTAGGATAGGGACCAGTGGCGGGCTCTTGTGAGCAAGGCAATGAAACTTCTGGTTCCAT